AAAACTTACTGTACCATTTAGGTTTGACTGCCCGGGGTCATTAATTGCTGTGGGATTTTTTTAGGGTAATGCGATGTGGGGGGAAAATAAACGGGCAGACATACGGGTGGCTCTGCACCATTGTTTATAAAAGTGATGCAAGACAATTGGATGGGGGTCGGGGGCCCTTTTGGGAAACTGATAAGCAGGTGGCAGCACAAAGAGATCCATTTTTCATCAATATCCTTTTCAATCCTTCTACGATATAATTGGGATACATTGTTTTCATCTCTTGAGACACTGGATTTTTGTTTTGTAATTTTTTAGTTTTCCGCTTTTTTAGTCCTGCATAGATTATAAGTGTTTATCTTCTTTTTCGTTCACCAGCTGTTATCTCCGGCGGAAAGTCGCGGTGTTCGTCTATTTGGACTTTGCCTTTGTACCAGGGCCTGGGTTTTGAGTGTTCATCTGCTTCACTGGCTTATTTTTGTGCAGCTGGGTTGATTCTTGCTGCTCAGCAGATACACTCCAACTCTGAAAGAAGTCCCGGACCAATTAGTCGACTCCTAAGACATGCTTGATGGGGAGGCAGTGAGTCTATTCTTGTTTTACCCACATAAACAAACTATAGCACATACCAAAAAACTATAGCCTGCACATACAAACTATAGCACACATACTATAGCACACAAACTATAGCACACACATAGCACACAAACTATAGCACACAAACTATAGTACACATACATACAAACTATAGTATACAGACATGAAAACCATAGCAGGACAATTACGACCAAACAGAAGACAGAACTTACTCGTGAGGTTCTAGTCTGATGTAAGTTGCAGGTATAAACCCTGACTGTTGACCACTCACAGCCTTGTACCAGCCACCATCTTCTGTGTTTATGACCTGACAGAGAACATACCAGACCAGCATTAGAGAATGTCTGGGCTGTCTAAGCCTGTGAAGTAGAAGACCATCTTCGACACTAGCAGGAACCATCTGGTGGCACGCCAACCCTTTAAGGGTAATTAAAACAAATTTAGGGGTCTGTATTATTTTTTTTTTAAACAGCATATACGTATTTTTTTAAACGTCACTTTAAGCTTTCTACTGCTATGGACATATTTGGTCGTTTGCCTGTACACTTTGTACATCTTTGGACTTTATTTGGTTTCTTGACCCCCCCCCCCCCCCCCCCCCCCCCCCACTACCATGGACGTAAAGACAGGTTTTTCGACTTCACTTGCAGACTTCCAAGAACTGTATTCTTGGGGGTCAAAGGGCAATACACAATAACAATTTTTAGACCCAAATATTTAAGTGGAAAGTTACAGGTGTTCATCCACCTCTAGACTGGTTCTAGACCTCTTGTTCCAGAACCTGAGTGTTGCGTGCACACCTGTTTCACATTTGACATTTGTATGCAGACTGCTGTTTTCTTGCCTCTCATGCAGATGTACTCCAGCTTTGAAGGATGCAGTCAATTAGTTGACTCTTACAAGCAGAGGGAGGGCAGTGTGTCTATTGTTGTTTTCACCCATAATGGAGCCCCTGAACCCATATGGCCCGGACAAATGTCCTTATATGAACACAGACAGAAGAACGAATGAAAGAACAAACTTCATTTTCAAAGAGTTAAGAATTGGGCACACAGGCCAGTCTTACATTCTGCCCTTACGCCATGCATACATTGTTTTAGCAGATAATTATAATAATAGTAATAATAGGCATCAACAACATCTTTGTAAGAATGTGCTCTAAGTATGCTACATTTTAAAACATGTATAATACTAAGTATAATAAACATTGGTGGAAATCAACATTATTCTTAGGAAACTATTATCTTCTAAGGGGGCATGTAGTCTGTAGTGAGATAATATTCAAAAAGCTTCCAATTGTATTTATAGGGGTTATTGATATTTTTTATTGGTTGTGGAAGATGGTTCCACAGATGAGCTGCAGAGTACGCCAAGCTTGTTTTGTACAAATCTATTCTGGGTTTAGGGATGTGTAATATGTTTAGGCGTTTGCTATGTCGCCCATTATACTTGAAGAATAGCCAAAGGTAATCTGGAGCATTATTTTATAAGATTTTGTGAATAACTTTGGCCTTATTGAAAAGTAGTCGTTTATGGAAGGGTAGTAACTTTAGATCTTTATGTTTACTGGAACTGTCTCTTCCATGATTATTACCGACTAAGCGTACAGCTCTTTTTTGAAGTGCTTAAAGCCGTTTCATGACTGAACTTGGACAGCTATCCCATATTGTGGAGCAGTAGTCTAGATGGGTCTGAATATGGGAGGTATAGAATATCCTTCTGGTGTTTCCATCCAGAAAGTGTTTTAATTTTTACAAGCCGGTATACTTTTTAGCTGTTTGTTTCACTAGAGCTTGTACATGAGAAGTGAAGGTTAAATTTCTATCAATAATAACCCCTAAAGCTTTGTGCTCAGTGACACATTCTACTGGGTTGTTACTGTTGTAGAGTAGACGAGTGTTCTGTGCAGTTAAAGATTATAGAAGAGTTTAGATAATGATGGCACAACTATAACAAATATTGCACATTTTACTACCATACCATACAAAGCATACATGGAAAGAGAAGAAGGACGTAGAGCACGGGGTAGACCAAGAACAAGATGGAAGGATAACATCAGAGAAACTCTACAACAGCACGATGTGCCTATGGTCGAGGCAGCCAGAAGAGCTAGAAACAGAACCTTATATTTCCCTCGACACCCACAGCGGTAAAAGAGGAAGTGAAGAAGAAGAAGCACAATTTACTGCTGACAAATATTATTTATCTACAGAATTTAAATCAACAAATAATGAGAAAAAAAAGGATTGATTTTTTTCAACTGAACAGAAAAACACAACAAGCCAGGCAATCTAGCGACTACGGTGTTCGGCAATTGGCGGTCTTTTGGCAATTTTCCGTTACCATGGAAACCCTTCAAAACTTGCTTCGCAAATGTCGGCTGGGGTTTCAGGATGGGTCCTAATCTCTCATTAAATTTTGCGATTGGTGTGATTTTCACCCACTATAAAAAGCTGAAAACGGCAGGAAGGAACCCGATTAACAGCGCATGTCTACGACAGCCAGACGTCCTCTGTTTTTCTGTTACATCAGTTTGATTGAAAATAGCGATAAGTATTCAGGGTTGGCTTTAACTGTTACTGTACCTGGTAATGCTACTTATAATTGAATTCTCTGTCCAATTTTACATTTGTGTATAAAATTTCTTTCTGGTACAGTGACATTTTTCAGGCAATCACTGGCTCAGGCAGTCTCATTGTCTGCCATCTTGTCCAATGCAAACAAAGCCAAAACGAAAATTGCGCAGTTTGGTTGCGCAGAGAAAACTTCTTCTTTCTGGGAGACAAGTTTTAGCAGCTGTTTTTTACATCTCATCTCCACAAAAACCTACATATCTCAGCTCAGAAATGACATATAAGCCTAAATGAGGTACCGTTGGAAAGAGATTGTTTACAGCTATCTAACTGTGCTGGTTTTATTGGTGTAGAGGACATTTTAAAAATTTGACTAAAGTACCTAGGCAATCAACTCTGCAATATACTGTTTCTTCCTTTTCTCCATCTTCTAGTCCCTCCCCCTCTGTAGTAATTCTTTTCCTCCACCTTCTTCTATATCCTCATTCTTCCTTTCTCACTACTTCTTTATTTTTATTCTTCTAGTTCAGTTCTTTCGCTCCCCCTCCTTCTATATTATATCCCTTTTCTTCTTCTCTCCCTCCTCCTTTCTCGCCTTCCTCCTCTCCCTCATCCTTTCTCGCCCTCCTCCTATGTGCTGTTTCTAATGTGTTGTATATGTTCATTTTCATTTCTTTACTTTAAAGTTGTGCTTCGCTCATTCTTTTGCAGTCTATTGTCTAAATCATCACTACTTAAATTCACAACCGGAAAACATTGCGTTGACTGCTTGATTTGATTTGCTCTTTGCAAACGGAAAGATCTATGAATGACAGTTTTGCGTTTATGCTTTGATGGTTAATAACTATGCTGGTTTTTCATTTCTACGCCTGTCGAGTTTCTACAAACGTGAACATTTTATAAGCAAATCAAAATTGCTTCATTCGTTCAACCAGGAAGTTTGTACTGTTATCATGACTTTCTATGAAAACAAAACATGTATTGTACCCTGAACCCTGAACGATGTGTGGGGGAAGTAGCTTGTAGAAGCAAAACCACGATATGTATATAAAAACAATATAAAAATAGTTGATAAAGTAATAATCATATTTAAATACGCATAATTTAATGCAACTTACACATAATTTAGCGCCTTTTCTTAAACTCATTTCGTCTGTTTGCGTAGCATCGAAATCCCAGAGAGCTATCGCCTCCATCTTGATTTTTGTGTCTAAGTTTACCTACAAGTAATGTGTGCTTTCGCGAGAAAGAAAAAGTATTACGTATATTTTGTTTAGTATATATTACCATAACTAAATAAATAACCTGCACAACAAACAAATTAAGTCGTATATTCACAACAATGAATGTCACGGTGATTAATGTTCATTACTTAGGCTAAATCTGGCGAATGATGTCTTGCAAACGCGAAGTAATATCTATTACCGGTGTAAGTTATTTTTATCGACCAAAACAATTGGGTCTTTATAAGACAGTTTGGTGCCCGTAGGCTTCATCAGCGACCGGTTCGCCCATTGGTTCGCCCATTGGTTTGCCGATAGACGACTGCGTCGCCGGTTATGTGGCACACAAAATCTAGTCACAATTATATCCAAAAGCTCTCCCTTCGGAAATGCTGGTTAAACGTAGCGATTTTGTTTCAACAGAGCATGGAATTTGTAGGCTTCCCGTAAATCTATTAATTGTGTAACTGCACACTTCCGATTTATTTCCCCCATAAACTGCTCTTGGCTCCTAGGTCGATCGAGCCTTAAATGAATACCGGCTAATGTACTGTGAGGGGGGGAGCCGTCGTGACGTTGACCACCTCACCTATCCAGTGTGGATTGGTCTTTAAAATTTTGAATCCATGTTATGCCGGTGTGTTGGGAAATGAGCAGGCAGATAGACTGACTGGCTCTGCACAACTTGGGGGTGAACTGATGTATGACACGTTAGATATTGCGAGGGCCCTTTAGGTGCGAGTGAAGAGTGCGGAGGCGCAGATAGATCATTACCGTCTTAGGAGAATGGCACTGCAAGGAGTTACCAGGGGATCTGGCAGACGCTCAACACTCAGGGGAAGGATGATACGAATATACTATAAGGCGGTTACTAGTACAATCGGAATTGGAACTTTCTGCTGAAGATGGAGACTGAGCACTTGTAGAAGTGTCCCGAGTGCTGTGATGTCGATTCTTAATTCAACATTTTGAATCCAGCATCAAATGCCGGATACAAATAAACAAATAAAATAATGCGCATTATGAGACATTTATGCGGTGGTTCAGAGTGTGCAGTGCCCCCTGAAAATGGTCTAAGTGGTTTTTTTTTTACAAACATGGAAAACAATATCAAACAAAGAATCTTTACATAAGGAGGCTTGGACAGAGTCTGGACGGCATTCGACGCACAGATGAGAAGCCACTTTTAACATTTATAGTGGACAGACAAAGATAATGATAATAAACTAGACAGACAGTGATCTCTTGATGTTATCTCATTCCGAGATCTGGAGTAATCGGCAGTAATGTTGATAAACAAGGGGGGACTGGTAGCACAAAAGGCAAAAAGAGCTTTCATAGCATTAGGAAATTTGAGAAGTTCAAAGGAGAAAACAACTATAACAACTACTAGTAAACCATAAACATTCATTAACTGACTGGTGTCTGCTCAGAAAAGAAGGATTTAAATGGTATGATAAAATCAATTGCGAGTCCGACTCGTAATTCCAACATACCGCGATCGAAACCCACTGCTGGCTGCGTGGATTTGTATCATGGTATGGGGCGTCGCAGGTCGACCCAGCCTAAAATGGGTACCAGGATAGCTGTCCTGGGGAAGTAAAGACGGCTGACGTAATGCTGACCACATTACCCATCCAGTGCAAAGTTACTTACATTTCAAAACTTTGTATGTAAAGGTGAAGTCGTGAGACGTGAACCAGCGTCATAGCACACGGTTATAAACCATAAGTGCTCTGCCACCAGTACAGACAGCTGATAAGAAACTGTCCGCCTGTGTCGCCGTTCGCACGTAACTCTGTAGCTACAACGTTCCTCCATTTACCCCAGAGTGTCAACTCTGGTACCCATTTCCTAGAGGCTGGGTGAACCCCGGGAACCGCCCGGCTTCGAACGCCGACCGTGGCTGCAGCGAGTCGCAGCTGGATTTAAAAGCGAGTCTCCTATCGACTGGGCTTACTTTGTATGTGATTCTGTCAAGCGAGTCGACAGAAAGAAAACATAACGGTGGGAAGTGCTCGATTGGGAGTGGGGGGGGGGGGGGGGGTATAAGCCTCCCTACAAATGTTTCAAGGGAGTCTATAGAAGGTTTAAGCTTTGTTTAAATGTGTAATAATTATAATCATAGTAATATTGACACATTTTTAATTATATTAATATATTAACAAATACTTCAAACAAGAATTTCTATACATGGTTAGGCGGAGGCTTAGTTCCCTTATGCAATTTCGAGGTGGGGGCGGGGAAAGTGGGGGGGGGGGGGGGGTGGCACTCAACCCAAGGAAGCTCGAATAGCCTAATCCTTAGTGCGACGATACGTCCCGTTTTCACCGCGACAGTCCCGTTTTCTTGGTGCATCCCTCAGTTGTCCCGTTTAAATTACACCCAGAATAGATCAAACGAGCAAACCAACTCATTGGGCAAATGGCGCCAATATTAAGAAACACACGTTTATCAGTAGAAGCCAAAAGATCACGCTGTAACACAGATCTTTCTGCCAACCCCGTGTTATCAACGCCAGATCTGGAAAATGACAGAAAAAAGAGACAAGAAAATAGCAATTGCTGAAATGAGATTACTTGCGAAGGGCTCTTAATATAAAAAGAAGAGATAAGATCAGAAACAATGAAATCAGAAGGAAAATGAGGACAACAGTAGGTCTGTATTTAATTTTTTTTTTTCAACACAGGTGAAATGGTTTGGCCATATAAGGCGGATGTCAGCAGACAGTATACCACAGCAAGCAATGATGTACAGACCAGACGAGAAGCGAAGAAGAGACCGACCATGCAAGTTTTGACATAGCGAATCACATAGTACCTGCGAATGCCCATTTACAAACGCACAAACGGGCGCGTTCCCGTAAATTATGCTTCATCTGGACACCGCAAGGTACCAGAGGATTAAGATGGGATAAGATGCTATAGAACATAAACTAATAATATTTTTTTTTTAAGTTAAACTGGAAAATATACACGTAGTCAAAATATACGTATACGGATCAAACTATATAGAACCATAGTTGAACCAATATAAACATGACAAGCAGTCCAGTTAGACCAGTGTTGAGTTCTTTGGATTCAAAAACCGACATCACAGCGCTCGGAGCATTCCCATAAGCGCCCCGTCCCTACCTTCAGCAGCCAGCGAAGAGTTCCAGTACCAGTGGGGTCAGCAGCATTCAGATTACATCACCTTCTTGCCTGTCTTCTGAGCGTCCAGCATCGGCCAAAACCCCTCGTCACTCCCCGCTGCATGAATCTCGCCAGTCTGTTGTGATCCATTCGCTCCTCCGAACTGTACACGCTCTCCCACAAGGCACTAACCACGTCTGCCTTATCATATATCAGTATTCCACCAAGTTGTGCAGAGCCAGCCAGTCTGTCTGCCAGTTCATAGCCCAACACACTGGTTTACCCTGAGAAACGATCCAGACTATACTCCTCACATATGACCATCGCAGGGAAGCATGCCGCTCTGCACGATGCATGCCTGTCCTGACCTTCCTCATCATGCTTTCTGAGTCAGTTACAGTCACGATGTGTGTGTGTGGTGTTCTCTAACCAGCGGACAACTGCAGTGACCACCTCCACCTCCATTCTTAAGCTAGATGTTTTGGGATCATATGCTAGGCTTCCCTGTACCAAACGTTGACCATTAACTTTTGCTAAGAAACCCCAAACACTTCTTTTGCCTTTTGATACTGAACCGTCTGTATACTTCTTCTTCTTCTTGGCGTTCACCAGCTGTTGGCTCTGACGGACAGTTTTGGTTGTTCGTCCACTTCTGGACTGCAGTCATGTTCCAGAACCTGACTGTTGCGTGTGCGTCCGTTTTACAGATCTGACTCATTTGTATGCAGATTGCTGGTTCCTTGCCTCTCAGGCAGATGCGATCCGACTTTGAAGGAAGCTCCCAATTAGTCGACTCTTACAACATGCTTTTGGGTAGGCAGTGGGTCTGTTCTTGTTTTCCCCATAATAGGGCCCCGTAGCCCACACGGGGAACCGTCTGTATACATAATCAAACCCTCTGAGCGAGCATTATCTTGAATTAATTGCTGAATGCCCACCTCTGTGGCACCTGTTGGCCAGTATCTGCATTCCCGGCTCAGCGTGATTATGACCCTACACAAGTCTGACTGTTCCGCTGGCACTCTTACCCACTCCTCTCCTCGCCTAATGTTCTTCAGGATACAAAACTGTCTGACTGCGTCTTCTGCCTGAGCCATCCATGACTTCGCTCTTATCAGCCACCGACCCTTGTCTGCATCCAGAGCTTCGTGCAGAGGGTGATCTGCGCCTGCAGCTACTCTGAGATATAACTTCGCCTGCAGCACCTTGAGCCTACTTGCAACAGTCGGCAAACCAAGGATGTATAGCATATCCAGCACTGGGGTGTCTCTGGTGCATCCCAAACTGACCCGCATAACTGCTTTCTGTGTGCGCTCTAGTTTATCCATCTGATTGTGAGACAGTAAGCAGTCCTAGTCCATATTCAGTCACTGAAAGGATCAAGCTGATGTAGTGTGAAAAGCATTCTCTGCGCTATGTCCATTTCAGCCATAGTCCTTATTGCACTGAGTCCTTTTTTGGCGTCTTGTCACAACCCTCTCCACATGGTCCTTAAAGGACAGGCTCCTGTCACATATGATTCCCAAATACTTCAGTTTGCCCTCTTTCTGTTGTTATTTATGTCGTCTATCGTGAGACCTGGAACCTCAGCTCTAATAATCCTGTTATCTAGAGAACCCCACAAAAAGACACCTTTTCTGGGTGGACGACAACCCTCATTTCTGCACACCAGTCAAACACTGTGTCTATTGTCGCGTGTAGCTCCTGGGCAGTGTGTTCCCTCTCTCTCACCCTTGCCTATATGCCAGTGTGTACAACTTGTTGGTCAACTGATGCGTGACAAGCTAGATGTTAACAGGACTCTTTGCAGGAGAGTTAACAGTGCGGAAGCATAGATGG